GCAAAGGTAAAGTATAAATTAAAATGATTGTGACCGATGTGAAGGGGGAGGAGAATTGACACGTGCGTCACGTTTAGTCAGTATAACAGTTCCGCGTAGGATGCACCTGTGTATCCTTGCTTATGACTCCTCAGGAAGCCTCCTATCTCCTCGATCCTCGACTCCTCACGGTGCAATTAGAGAATTGAGATGTCCTTCAAGATGGCTGAGCTCGATCGGTTTCCGGGTCATAGGAGGGAGGACGGAGGAGCGAGGAGACGAGGAGGGATATTGAGAAGCACCCTCGGTCTGTGCCACTGGCTGCTTAGGCTGAAACTGCTGGGAAAACTGTTGACTAGCTTGTTGGACTGACTGAGGAAACTGTTGACTAGCTTGCTGTTGAACTGGCTGAGGAAACCATTGATTAGCTTGCTGTTGAACTGGTTGTTGAAACCGCTGGTCAGTTTGCTGGAACATCAGAGGTTGAGGATTCTGGGGAAGATTACTCCACTTTGGAACAGCATGACAGAAAGCACCAAACCAAACACAAAGTGCCAGAGACTGCACAGCATACCAACTTCCTGCCATTGTTCAACAGCTAGTCACACTGTTGAGATGCTGCCCTTTGGTCTTTTTGTACTCTACAGATTTTGGCAAATTAATGATATACCCTCCCTCTTCGTTAACAGTCATGATTCTCCAGACTTGTATGAGTGGGAGTTTATGCAATGGGTGATTCCATTGGTTCATAATAATAAAGTCATTCCTTGTTCTTTTCTACTCTTATCATTAACATTTATGTATTATTACACATAACCCTCTAAATATATAGACTATATCCTTTAAAAAAAACATAAAATTGATATAAAAACAAAATACAAGCAATTACCTGTAAACGTAATCATGGACCTTTAAATTACAGCAAATATTTGTAAAATGCAAATCAATCAAACCAATTGTGGTTTGAAAAAGCAATACATTGGTGTCACTCAGCACGTTTGGGCTTCCTCGAGAACCAATGAGGTTCATTGTCGTGTTACACAGAATGTGTAAGCTTTAACATAAACCAATTCTCATGTGTTATGCAGCACATTTGAGCTTCAGCAAGAACCAGTGAGCTTCATTCTAAGCCCCTTTCACACAAAGATTCTGGAAAAAATACAGAAAGTGCATCTCGAGATAGCTTGATTTGGGTTCATTCACACTGCCAGTGATTTTCCAGAATTTGTCAGTGCATTCACATATTCCCGTAAAGACATGTGATGTCAAGCTGTGACATGTAATATCTCCACAGCATTTAAGATCGCTTACAATCTGCAATTTCTGTGAAGCAATGCCCACACTCTTTTTTTTTTTCCTGATTCAACCATAAACTAACACAATGCATAGCATACCACCAAGCTGACAAATTATCTCCACGACACACCTCTTACACCATTGGTCCTGGCTTTTGTTCACACAAGGCACGTTCCAGGACTGCTTCCAGCATCAATCCCAGGACATGTTTACATTAACACAGAAGGCTCTAACAATTTTATGACAATTTCCCAGGATCAATGCACTGTGTGAAAGGGGCTCTAGTGTTAAAGCACATTTGAGCATCAGCAAAAACCAATGAGAACAACTTGCCAGGTGCTTTAATTATCCACCTGCCGCCCATAGAGGTTTTTCCCCTACAACAATGGAAGGGAGATTTTAGAACAGTTGTCCTCAACATACCAAATAAAAAAAACAATTTCATGTTGGTTGCATTGCAAAAAATGTGGTCAGACAAGTTCAAGGTTTGATATCATTTATTAAACACTCATAGAGTCAGTCTCACTTCTCCACTAGAAACCACAGTTTGGCCAGAAGAGGTAGCGTTTACACGAACAGCCCTTCCTAAAAGTGCAAGAAAAAAAAAAAAAAACAGAATTAACACTCCCACAACTTTTAAAGTCACAAGCTAAATAAAGCAGTTTAAATAACAGGAAGCACTGACTTCGCCTGGAGCAACTTTGCTGACAAGAGCCAGAAGAGGGATGGCACACCTCGGTACTGCAATGGATGAAGACCTGAGACGAGAACCAAAGCTGGCATTAGGAACCAAGAGACAGTTGAAAACTGACACACTGGGTACTGTACCGTTTCCTGCAGAGGAGCCAGTGATGCTGGATCAACAAATGTGAACATCTTCACAACAAAGCGCTTGTAGTGGGTTGGGAACTGAAGACCAGATGATCCAGACACTGGAACCAATGTGGTCAGGTAACGATCATCCCGGTAAGGGCACCTGAAAGGCAAAGAGGCAGTCAGAAACACCTTACAGCACACTAGATGGATAAAGACTGGCCTTACTCACCCATCAACCAGAAGGTCCCACTGGGGTAGACTGAGTGGACTAGGGGTTGATGTCGCCCAACAATGTCCCAGCATCAAGACAATGTTGGGGTCAGACCTCTCCAAAATGTGCACCTCAACATAGACAGGTTCCCGCAAGACTTTTGTGACCGGATAATCAGCTTCACTGTAGTAGGATGTGTACGCCTCATCCCCTGAGGAAGAACAGCGTTTAACTTGAAACTGCTGCAAACTGGAGTTTTAGAAAGGCTTTAGGCATACCTGGGACAAACACTTACCTTCGGCACAGCCTTTGGTGACACATTGACCATTTGCCAGTCTAAGCTCCACTCTGAGGGGTCCAGGAGCAGCTACCGGTGGAGGTGGAGGAACAGTGTTGACCTCCACAACCAGAGCTTCCACTGAAGTACCAGAGTACCTACACTGGAAGAGAAGCCTGCACAACAAACAGTGAGCTTGTAGCATTTGTCCAGGATTAACATTTATGATAAAGCATGAATCACTTACTCAAAATGGCTGTCCCTTGTGATGGAACCAAGTGGTCCCATACCCACTTCATAAGAGGAGGTCATTCTGTTTTCATACACCACATATCCACTGTCCTCCTGCAAACAGTAACCGTTGGCATCCAGTCCATATTACAAGCCATGCAGAACAAAAAAGCCACAAGCAGTTACTCACCATCATGCTTGTGCCACATGCAGTGACCGGGAACTGATATATAGCAAAGAAAGGTGTGGATCCCACAGGACTGCAAGCTGGATCATTTCCACCCAGGAGACGGATCGAATCCAGGCTCAATCGAGGCAGCGTAACGTCTCTAGCCACCACTACCACAAACTGACCATCTCTTATACACTGGACGGTCACTGAAACAAGGTTCAAGAGCAGGTTATTGCTGAAGATCAGTTTTACATGAACACCTTTACATTGACTCAACACTCTTACCTGCCTTCCCATAGTAACACTGCTGTCCGTTAAAGCAGCAGTTGATAGCTGCACACTCAGCACCACTGATACCAGGTGGACCACATTGGATCTGCTCATAATCAGCTACAGTACATTTATCAAGGGGCTCGGTCTGTGCCACTGGCTGCTTAGGCTGAAACTGCTGGGGAAACTGTTGACTAGCTTGCTGTTGAACTTGCTGAGAAAACTGCTGAGGAAACTGTTGACTAGCTTGTTGGACTGACTGAGGAAACTGTTGACTAGCTTGTTGAACTGACTGAGGAAACTGTTGACTAGCTTGTTGAACTGACTGAGGAAACTGTTGACTAGCTTGTTGAACTGACTGAGGAAACTGTTGACTAGCTTGCTGTTGAACTGGCTGAGGAAACCATTGATTAGCTTGCTGTTGAACTGGTTGTTGAAACCGCTGGTCAGTTTGCTGGAACATCAGAGGTTGAGGATTCTGGGGAAGATTACTCCACTTTGGAACAGCATGACAGAAAGCACCAAACCAAACACAAAGTGCCAGAGACCGCACAGCATACCAACTTCCTGCCATTGTTCAACAGCTAGTCACACTGTTGAGATGCTGCCCTTTGGTCTTTTTGTACTCTACAGATTTTGGCAAATTAATGATATTCCCTCCCTCTTCGTTAACAGTCAGGATTCTCCAGACTTGTATGAGTGGGAGTTTATGCAATGGGTGATTCCATTGGTTCATTAGAATAAAGTCATTCCTTGTTGTTTTCCACCCTCATTATTAATATTTATGTATTATTACACATAACCCTCTAAAAATACAGACTGTATCCTTTAAAAAAACTAAAATTGATGTAAAAACAAAATACAAGCAATTACCTGTAAATGTAATCATTGACCTTTAAATGACAGCAAATATCTGTAAAATGCGAATCAATCGAACCAATTGTGGTTCGAAAAAGAAACACATAGGTGTTACGCAGCCCGTTTGGGCTTTCTCGAGAACAAATGAGGTTCATTCTCGTGTTACACAGCATTTGTGAGCTTTAACACAAACCAGAGAGGTTAATTCTAGTTTATGCAGCACATTTGAGCTTCAGCAAAAACCAGTGAGCTTCATTTTAAGCCCCTTTCACACAAAGATTCTGGAAAATATACAAATTGTATCTCGGGATAGTTTGAGTTTGGTTCATTCACACTGCTAGTGAGTTTCCAGAATTTATCAGTGCATTCACATATTCCCATTAAGACATGTGATGACAAGATGTGACATGTAATATCTCCACAGAATTTAAGATTGCTTACAAGCTAGGATTTCTCTGTAGAAACAATGCCCACACTCTTTTTTTCTGATTTAACCATAAACTAACACAATGCAAAGCATTCCACCAAGCAAACAAATTATCTCCACGACACACCTCTTACACCATTGGTCCTGAATTTTGTTCACACAAGGCACGTTCCAGGACTGCTTCCAGCGTCAACCCCAGGACGTGTTTACATTCACACAGAAGGAACTCTAACAATTTTATGGCAATTTCCCAGTACCAATGCACTGTGTGAAAGGGGCTCTAGTGTTAAAACACATTTGAGCTTTAGCACAAATTGCCAGGTGCTTTAATGATCCACTTGCCTCCCATAGAGGTTTTTCCCCTACGACAATGGAGCGGAGATTTTAGAACAGTTGTCCTCAACATACCAAATAAAAGAAGAATTTCATGTTGGTAGCATTGCAAAAAATGTTGTCAGACAAGTTCAAGGTTTGATATCATTTATTAAACACTCATAGAATCAGTCTCACTTCTCCACTAGAAACCACAGTTTGGCCAGAAGTGGTAGTGTTTACACGAACAGCCCTTCCTAAAAGTGCAAGAAGAGACAGAATTAACACTTCCACAACTTAAAAAAATCACAAGCTAAATTAAACCGTTTAAATAACAGGAAGCACTGACTTCGCCTGGAGCAACTTTGCTGACAAGAGCCAGAAGAGGGATGGCACACCTCTGTACTGCAATGGATGAAGACCTGAGACGAGAACCAAAGCTGGCATTAGGAACCAAGAGACAGTTGAAAACTGACACACTGGGTACTGTACCGTTTCCTGCAGAGGAGCCAGTGATGCTGGATCTACAAATGTGAACATCTTCACAACAAAGCGCTTGTAGTGGGTTGGGAACTGAAGACCAGATGATCCAGACACTGGAACCAGTGTGGTCAGGTAACGATCATCCCGGTAAGGGCACCTGAAAGGCAAAGAGGCAGTCAGAAACACCTTACAGCACACTAGATGGATAAAGACTGGCCTTACTCACCCATCAACCAGAAGGTCCCACTGGGGTAGACTGAGTGGACTAGGGGTTGATGTCGCCCAGCAATGTCCCAGCATCAAGACAATGTTGGGGTCAGACCTCTCCAAAATGCGCACCTCAACATACACAGGTTCCCGCAAGACTTTTGTGACCGGATAATCAGCTTCACTGTAGTAGGAGGTGTACGCCTCATCCCCTGAGGAAGAACAGTGTTTAACTTGAAACTGCTGCAAACTGGAGTTTTAGAAAGGCTTTAGGCATACCTGGGACAAACACTTACCTTCAGCACAGCCTTTGGTGACACATTGACCATTTGCCAGTCTAAGCTCCACTCTGAGGGGTCCAGGAGCAGCTACCGGTGGAGGTGGAGGAACAGTGTTGACCTCCACAACCAGAGCTTCCACCGAAGTACCAGAGTACCTACACTGGAAGAGAAGCCTGCACAACAAACAGTGAGCTTGTAGCATTTGTCCAGGGGTAACATAAGTGATAAAGCATGAATCACTTACTCAAAATGGCTGTCCCTTGTGATGGAACCAAGTGGTCCCACACCCACTTCATAAGAGGAGGTCATTCTGTTTTCATACGCCACATATCCACTGTCCTCCTGCAAACAGTAACCGTTGGCATCCAGTCCATATTACAAGCCATGCATAAAAAACAACAAAAACACCAACACCAGCAAGCAGCTACTCACCATCATGCTTGTGCCACATGCAGTGACAGGGAACTGATATATAGCAAAGAAAGGTGTGGATCCCACAGGACTGCAAGCTGGATCATTGCCACCCAGGAGACGGACTGAATCCAGGCTCAACCGAGGCAGCGTAACGTCTCTAGCCACCACTACCACAAACTGACCATCTCTTATACACTGGACGGTCACTGAAACAAGGTTCAAGAGCAGGTTATTGCTGAAGATCAGCTTTACATGAACACCTTTACATTGACTCAACACTCTTACCTGCCTTCCCATAGTAACACTGCTGTCCGTTAAAGCAGCAGTTGATAGCTGCACACTCAGCACCACTGATACCAGGTGGACCACATTGGATCTGCTCATAATCAGCTACAGTACATTTATCAAGGGGCTCGGTCTGTGCCACTGGCTGCTTAGGCTGAAACTGCTGGGAAAACTGTTGACTAGCTTGCTGTTGAACTAGCTGAGAAAACTGCAGAGGAAACTGTTGACTAGCTTGTTGGACTGACTGAGGAAACTGTTGACTAGCTTGCTGTTGAACTGACTGAGGAAACTGTTGACTAGCTTGCTGTTGAACTGGCTGAGGAAACCATTGACTAGCTTGCTGTTGAACTGGTTGTTGAAACCGCTGGTCACTTTGCTGGAACATCAGAGGTTGAGGATTCTGGGGAAGATTACTCCACTTTGGAACAGCATGACAGAAAGCACCAAACCAAACACAAAGTGCCAGAGACCGCACAGCATACCAACTTCCTGCCATTGTTCAACAGCTAGTCACACTGTTGAGATGCTGCCCTTTGGTCTTTTTGTACTCTACAGATTTTTGCAAATTAATGATATTCCCTCCCTCTTCGTTAACAGTCAGGCTTCTCCAGACTTGTATGAGTGGGAGTTTATGCAATGGGTGATTCTATTGGTTCATTTGAATGAAGTCATTCCTTGTTCTTTTCCACCCTTATCATTAATATTTATGTCAAAAAACACACAACCCTCTAAAATACAGACTGTATCCTTTAAAAAAAGTAAAATTGATGTAAAAACAAAATACAAGCAATTACCTGTAAATGTAATCGTGGACCTTTAAATTACAGCAAATATCTGTAAAATGCGAATCAATCGAACCAATTGTGGTTCGAAAAAGCAATACACTGGTGTCACTCAGCACATTTGGGCTTTCTCGAGAACCAATGAGGTTCATTCTCATGTTACACAGCATGTGTGAGCTTTAAAAAAAAACCCAGAGAGGTTAATTCTAGTTTTATACAGCACATTTGAGCTTCAGCAAAAACAAATATTCATTCTCATGTGTTATGCAGCACATTTGAGCTTCAGCAAGAACCAGTGAGCTTCGGTCTAATGGTGCGTTCTATTATCCATCCGACTCGGAGATCCGAATCGGACGACAGACGTCGCCTAGCAACACGCCCCCTTTCCTTGGATTTCTCCTCTCAGACGTCGGACAACCGTGAGACCACCGAGCAAGAATTCCGTTTCGGAATTCAAGATGGCTGCACCCTGTGACTTGTAAGAATGAATTGTTTTCATTGTTTTTGAACTGCTTTGGTATTTTAAATGACAATTATAATCACTCGTATTACTGCGTTCCCTGTGGATATGGGAATCGGTTGTTGTGAGTGCAATTACTAACATGCTAGCGTTGCTAACAGAAGATTAACATGAAAAACATTACATAAGACATTTTCAAGTTCAAATAGCTGCGTTTTGATTAGGTGCAGTCATAATATTTTTTTTTTAAATGTAAATGCCTGGTACTCGGCCAGTGCTACCATGATAACAGCTTTCTCCAACTCGGACACGCAAAACTTAAGAGAACGCTCAAAGTGTGGACGTGACGTCAAATCCGAGGTCCGAGTTGGTTTGTTGGCTATACTAGAATGGACCCTAAGCCCCTTTCACACAAAGATTCCAGAAAAAATACAGATAATGCATCTCAGGATAGCTTGATTTTGGGTCATTCATACTGCCAGTAATTTTACAGAATTTGTCAGTGCATTCACATATTCCTGTAAAGAAATTTAATATCTCCACAGTATTAGATTTCTTACGATCTGCGATTTCTCTCAAGAAAAAAACCCCACGCTCTTTTTTTCCCTTATGCAACCATAAACTAACACATTGCATAGCATTCCACCAAGCTGACAAATTATCTCAGCCACACACCCCTTACATCATTGGTCCTGGGTTTTGTTCACACAAGGCACGTTCCGGGATTGCTTCCGGCATCAATCCCAGGATGTGTTTACATGCGCACAGAAGGCACTAACAATTTTATGGCAATTTCCCAGGATCAATGCACTGTGTGAAAGGGGCTCTAGTGTTACAGCACATTTGAGCATCGGCAAGAACCAATGAGAACAAATTACCAGGTGCTTTAATAATCCACCTGCCTCCCATAGAGGTTTCTCCCCTACGACAATGGAAAGGAGATTTTAGAACATTTGTCCTCAACATACCAAATAAAAGAACAATTTCATGTTGGTTGCATTGCAAAAAATGTGGTCAGACAAGTTCAAGGTTTGATATCATTTATTAAACACTCATAGAATCAGTCTCACTTCTCCACTAGAAACCACAGTTTGGCCAGAAGTGGTAGTGTTTACACGAACGGCCCTTCCTAAAAGTGCAAGAAAAAAAAAACAGAATTAACACTCCCACAACTTTTAAAGTCACAAGCTAAATTAAACCATTTAAATAACAGGAAGCACTGACTTTGCCTGGAGCAACTTTGCTGACAAGAGCCAGAAGATGGATGGCACACCTCTGTACTGCAATGGATGAAGACCTGAGACGAGAACCAAAGCTGGCATTAGGAACCAAGAGACAGTTGAAAACTGACACACTGGGTACTGTACCGTTTCCTGCAGAGGAGCCAGTGACGCTGGATCTACAAAGGTGAACATCTTCACAACAAAGCGCTTGTAGTGGGTTGGGAACTGAAGACCAGATGATCCAGACACTGGAACCAGTGTGGTCAGGTAACGATCATCCCGGTAAGGGCACCTGAAAGGCAAAGAGGCAGTCAGAAACACCTTACAGCACACTAGATGGATAAAGACTGGCCTTACTCACCCATCAACCAGAAGGTCCCACTGGGGTAGACTGAGTGGACTAGGGGTTGATGTCGCCCAGCAATGTCCCAGCATCAAGACAATGTTGGGGTCAGACCTCTCCAAAATGCGCACCTCAACATACACAGGTTCCCGCAAGACTTTTGTGACCGGATAATCAGCTTCACTGTAGTAGGATGTGTACGCCTCATCCCCTGAGGAAGAACAGTGTTTAACTTGAAACTGCTGAAAACTGGAGTTTTAGAAAGGCTTTAGGCATACTTGGGACAAACACTTACCTTCGGCACAGCCTTTGGTGACACATTGACCATTTGCCAGTCTAAGCTCCACTCTGAGGGGTCCAGGAGCAGCTACCGGTGGAGGTGGAGGAACAGTGTTGACCTCCACAACCAGAGCTTCCATCGAAGTACCAGAGTACCTACACTGGAAGAGAAGCCTGCACAACAAACAGTGAGCTTGTAGCATTTGTCCAGGGGTAACATTTGTGATAAAGCATGAATCACTTACTCAAAATGGCTGTCCCTTGTGATGGAACCAAGTGGTCCCATACCAACTTCATAAGAGGAGGTCATTCTGTTTTCATACACCACATATCCACTGTCCTCCTGCAAATAGTAACCGTTGGCATCCAGTCCATATTACAAGCCATGCAGAACAAAAAAAGCCACAAGCAGCTACTCACCATCATGCTTGTGCCACATGCAGTGACAGGGAACTGATATATAGCAAAGAAAGGTGTGGATCCCACAGGACTGCAAGCTGGATCATTTCCACCCAGGAGACGGACTGAATCCAGGCTCAACCGAGGCAGCGTAACGTCTCTAGCCACCACTACCACAAACTGACCATCTCTTATACACTGGACGGTCACTGAAACAAGGTTCAAGAGCAGGTTATTGCTGAAGATCAGTTTTACATGAACACCTTTACATTGACTCAACACTCTTACCTGCCTTCCCATAGTAACACTGCTGTCCGTTAAAGCAGCAGTTGATAGCTGCACACTCAGCACCACTGATACCAGGTGGACCACATTGGATCTGCTCATAATCAGCTACAGTACATTTATCAAGGGGCTCGGTCTGTGCCACTGGCTGCTTAGGCTGAAACTGCTGAGGAAACTGTTGACTAGCTTGTTGGACTGACTGAGGAAACTGTTGACTAGCTTGTTGAACTGACTGAGGAAACTGTTGACTAGCTTGTTGGACTGACTGAGGAAACTGTTGACTAGCTTGTTGAACTGACTGAGAAAACTGTTGACTAGCTTGCTGTTGAACTGGCTGAGGAAACCATTGATTAGCTTGCTGTTGAACTGGTTGTTGAAACCGCTGGTCAGTTTGCTGGAACATCAGAGGTTGAGGATTCTGGGGAAGATTACTCCACTTTGGAACAGCATGACAGAAAGCACCAAACCAAACACAAAGTGCCAGAGACCGCACAGCATACCAACTTCCTGCCATTGTTCAACAGCTAGTCACACTGTTGAGATGCTGCCCTTTGGTCTTTTTGTACTCTACAGATTTTGGCAAATTAATGATATTCCCTCCCTCTTCGTTAACAGTCAGGATTCTCCAGACTTGTATGAGTGGGAGTTTATGCAACGGGTGATTCCATTGGTTCATTAGAATAAAGTCATTCCTTGTTGTTTTCCACCCTCATTATTAATATTTATGTATTATTACACATAACCCTCTAAAAATACAGACTGTATCCTTTAAAAAAAACTAAAATTGATGAAAAAAAAAATACAAGCAATTACCTGTAAATGTAATCATGGACCTTTAAATTACAGCAAATATCTGTAAAATGCGAATCAATCAAACCAATTGTGGTTCGAAAAAGAAACACATAGGTGTTACGCAGCCCGTTTGGGCTTTCTCGAGAACAAATGAGGTTCATTCTCGTGTTACACAGCATTTGTGAGCTTGAACACAAACCAGAGAGGTTAATTCTAGTTTATGCAGCACATTTGAGCTTCAGCAAAAACCAGTGAGCTTCATTTTAAGCCCCTTTCACACAAAGATTCTGGAAAATATACAAATTGTATCTCGGGATAGTTTGAGTTTGGTTCATTCACACTGCTAGTGAGTTTCCAGAATTTATCAGTGCATTCACATATTCCCATTAAGACATGTGATGACAAGATGTGACATGTAATATCTCCACAGAATTTAAGATTGCTTACAAGCTAGGATTTCTCTGTAGAAACAATGCCCACACTCTTTTTTTGCTGATTTAACCATAAACTAACACAATGCAAAGCATTCCACCAAGCAAACAAATTATCTCCACGACACACCTCTTACACCATTGGTCCTGAATTTTGTTCACACAAGGCACGTTCCAGGACTGCTTCCAGCGTCAACCCCAGGACGTGTTTACATTCACACACAGGGCCTGAAATTAACACCCGACCACCTGCCAAATGCGGGTGAATTTTTCTATTGGCGGGTAACACTGTCAATCTACCTGCCACATTGGCAGGTAGCCAATGAGAATTGAGTGATTCATAAGGATTTTTACATTTCAACTAAGTCTGCCATTGCGTTTGACTTTAGCTAAAATGTGGCGGCACATTACTGGGGTAAAGAGGCCAGCTGAAACAAACAACCAACAAAAAGATGAATACAAAGTGGACAATTGGCGGCAATGGCAAGGTTCGTGAGCGGCTGATTTATGACAGCGACTTTTTCGTAACGTTCATGCGATCA